TCAAGACGTTCCTCGGGCAGTGCGGCGGCCCTTCCGCTGACGCGAGGACCTCAGTCAACCTCGGAGTCGACGACGGCGCTGGACAGGCTCGTCGTATTGGAGGTCGAGGTAAGAAGGCTATGAGCAGAATGCAACATTTTCGGATTCGGTGCAAGCGCGCTCGCAAAGCTCGTCAAGCTCTCGGCCGTCAGACCCGCGAGATTTTTGTTTCAGGGCCGCTGGCATCGGTGAGCTACGGCTCCGAAGTATATGGTGTATATGATTATGAATTGGGTCTGCTTCGAGCTGGGTTCGGAGAATCTGTCAAACCGTCCGCGGGATCCAGGTCTCTTACGTCGCTCTGCATCCTGAAGGTAGACCCTGTTCATCACGCTGCCATCTCGCCCATTGCCAGATACTCCAGGGAGCTGCGGGACGCCCGGGCTCAGCAGACTCCATTCGCTTTAGGTTTCGCCGTTCTTAGAGACGCCTGGCAGCAGACATGGTCCAGACCGCCGTCTACGTGGCGGCAAGTACGGGGGCCGATCGGCGCCATGTATTTGTCTCTCAGCCGCGTAGGTTGGATCATGCCCAACTACGCGCAGTTGGTGAGCGAATTAGGTGCGCCCTACTCCCTCACTACCTCGCCCCCCAAGCTGATCAATAATACGTTGCGCGAGGGCGCGGGCAGAGTTGAACGAACCAGATGCTAGGTGCAATATCTGCTGTTCGGCTTCCCAACGCTTTGCGTAAGGCCGTCGGGCGCGCGCCCGCCGCCTGTGTAGAGTGGAGAAAAGCCCAATGGGGCGGTGCCCGCCCGCTGGTTTCTGCAGCAGCGCGGTCACCAGCGCCTGGGCAGGGCGCGGTGGGAGGCCCGTGGCTTCCATCATCACAAATAAAATGCTGACGGCATCCAACAAGTCGGCATGCTCAAAACAATAGTGCCGCATGCGAAACCCGCCAACACTGGTGGCCGTAAGTCTTGCCCACAGCAATCAAATCCTCTGCAGAGAGCGGCTCCGGCGGCTCCATGAAACCCAAGAGTCCAGACTCGTCAACATGCGGGTACGGCTTGGAATCCCAGAGGGCCCCGACCTGTGCCCCCTCCGACTGCAGGAGGGACGCAGGGTCCGACAAAACAAGCCCATCGGCCGATAACGCGGTGGTCGCCACCCAAGGTTTCAACTGGCGGGTCCAACGGTGGGCGTTTTTACCCCCTCTGTCCACTCCATCCAGAGGCCAGCTGCGCCACTCCTTCAAAGACCGCTGTGAAGAAGATGTTGCATACTCTGCTACTCTGGGTTCTAAGAGAGCTTGAAACTCTCGGAAGCCCGACGCGTCTTGGGAAGCATCTTGAAAAACCTCACGGAGCCCACATCCTTGCTGAAAAAAGATCTCGAAATCCACCCCAAGACCGACGAACGTGCGCCGGGGGATCCAGGAAATGAATCCGAAATCGCGCGAAGGCCACGGCGTCTCCTGAATCCACCGCCCCCAAGATAAACCTCGAGGTCCTCGACAACCAACGCCCGGATGCCAGGCCAGGATTCCGAACAGGAGGGCGAGTGTCTTCGCCCAAGGCAGAAACCCAAGCCAATCGAGGCCTCCAACCGCGGGGCCCCCATATCACCAGATCGGTCTGCAAAATTCTGGAAAGATCCCACTCGGCAGCATCGGCCCAAACTCGATATAGCACGTCAAGATGCCTCTGGACCTGGGGCCTCGAAGCTCGACGCTCGATCAACTCTCGACCCGCTCGGGCGCAATCCAGAACAGTGGCGTTGCCCTCCGAACGCGGCGCTGGCCCGATGGGGCGCTCGGACGGCAGTTTAGGCGGGCGGAGGAAAGTGCTGGCCTTGAGCACAGTCAACTGCGGGTATAAGAGAATGCGCGCGGGCGCGTGCGCCTTGACGTCGCTGCCTAAGACTGCTGACGCCCCCCTGGATGCACCGACTGAAGCCTGATGATAGCGCAAAGTAGTCGAGAACCCGCAAGCCCCCAGTACTGGTACATGTGCCGATGTCAGGATAGATAACGTTAGACTACTTTAGCTATCCAGGAACCCCAGAGGTAACCAACGCACCAGGCGCCGCGCCAACGTCGCCTCCGATCAGGTTCGGACCTTCAAACGAACAATGCCTGGCCGACACGGCCGCCAACAAATCGAGATTCCTGTCAGTGAGGTCCTCGCTATCGAAGGTAGACCGACGAGACCAGGATCGACGGAGCCCCTGGAACCTGAAACAATTGCACTCGTGGCCCTGGGCGGGGCGATGATCTGACCGAACTCGGGATCGTGGAACCCCAGGAAAGAGCAAACCAAAATCGCGACACCTCCCGGGGGGCATCCCGCCGAAGTGCGGGTCGCAGAATTGAGCCGAGTCTTCCATCCCCTCTTTAGAGCCAATTGCCCTGCCTTGGCGACGTCGTCTTTCGATGCGAGGCGGTGTTCTTGCACGAGTGCGACGTGGGAAGTCGCGGTTGCAAGCCGAGACTCGATGGGAGACCAACTCGTGCAACTCACCGTTTTGATCGACAGCTGAAGCGGTCAACCAGGGCAGGGGGGCGCTGACAAAAACTTGGAAGGGTCCGAAGGCATGCCGCCCTCGGTGGGCAGCCTAAGCAACTTCTTGGCTCTCTCAAGAGCCGATCGAACAGACATGACAGGGGCCCCATGGCTGGGCGAGCGCGCGCCGCGCTGGCCCTCGCAGAATGAACCTGAAGCCGCCGTCGATGACCAGGAGGGCCCAGTCGACCCGGATGGTGGAGCAGCGGCCATGCTGCCGCGCGAGTGAACGCGTTCACGAAGTCCCCCCTGTCGGCCACGCGCTGGCAGGGGGGGGGGGGGCGACAAGGGCCCGATGAGCTTGTCCGCGCTGGCGAGCACCTGCGCCGCCGACGATGGCCCAGCCCCCGAAGGTGACGCCGCCGCCCCGTTCGAAGAATCTCCACCTCCGTCTCCAGCATGATCTTGGGCCTCGCCCTTGGGCCCCCCAGAACCTTCAGGTGGCGCCGCGGCAGCTTCACCTGAAACGCCCACCTTGGGCTTCTTCCATATTATCTGGATGTGCTTGGCGCGATGCTCCTTGAGTTACTTGAAGTGCCGCTGGGCCTCGCCGGAGAGCTGGCGAGCGGCCTTCTGAATCGACTCCTTGAGTTGCGTGGTCCTCTTCTCGAACTCCTGGGCGTCAGACCCCTGAACCTCGTAGACCGAGCCGTCCACCCCGAAGACCTCCTCAACGCTGCCCATGTCCAGGAAGTCGCTGGACTCATCCAGGAGGTCCTGGAGGGCAATGCAACGCTTCTGTGGCGTGGCAGGAGCTGGGCAAACTTGGGCTCGAAGCTGATCAACCATACCCTGGTGCTTCTGCGTCTCGCCCGCCAGCTCGCGACGCACCGCACCAACGGACTCCTTCTTGTCGGCGCGCCAGTTAGACCACTTCGTATACTGTTCCAAATCATGCTGAAGCTTCTTCTCCAGCTGCTTGATATGACGATCCACCTGGTTGGCCTGGGCCTGCAGGGTGACAGGGGGTCACCAGCACGTCGCTTCTCCAGCCTGAGCAGCAGGGCCGCTGCAGATGCCTCGTTGCCCATCTTCCGATGGAGGCTGATGAGCTGCACCAGCTTGTCGTCGGAGAACTTGCCCTGATCACCTGCGACAGGCGGAGGGGCCCCGCTGCCCTGGAGGTCGACAGGGAGGCCTTCCATGGACGGCTTCTCCTGCCAAGGCGTGCGCTGCCAGTCTCCCGCCCAGGCTCCACGGGGCTGAGGCGGGCTGGCGGCTTCGACCTCCTTCTGCTTGCCGTAGCACTGCTTGCAAAACCAATAGTGACCGAGGTTCTTGCCGCAGCCGCAGTGCCCGCACTTCCAGTAGCCATCAGAGCCCCCGTCGCGCCATGGCGGAGTGCCAACAGCCCAGCCAGCACGACGAGAGAGAGACGCCATGGCGGGCGCCGAGGGCTGTGAGTGATTGCCTCTGATTCAGTCGTCTCCCGAGGGGAGACGACACCTCAAGCGCCACGGGACGGCACAGAGGCAGGCCCAGAAAATTTGGGCCCCAGTTGCTTGAGGAGGAGGAGGAGGAGGAGGAGGAGGAGGAGGAGGAGGAGGAGAAGGAGAAGGAGGAGGAGCAGGAGGAAGAGGAGGAGGAGGAGGAGGACGAGGAGGAGGAGGAGGAGGAGGAGGAGGAGGAGGAGGAGGAGGCGCGCAAGCACTCCACTCGGCGCGAGCGGTTCGCAAACGCCGTGGCCCAGGAAAGAAGCTGCACACCCGCTATCTGTCAACAGCAAGCGCAACCGACACGGCATAACGCTTCATGGGACTAGTGCCAACCGTGTAGAATTCTGGGGGGCGACCATCAACGTTGCTGCCGAAACGCAGCATGACCAGGCGGCCACCTCCCGTGGCCCCGACGACTTCAATTCTTGGGCCCGTCTTTGTGTGTTGTGGGCATGTGTGGGAGCATCAGGGCCGTCTGGAGGGTTTCCTGGGGGCAGATTCGGGGCCCTGGCGGCCGTCTTCGGGGGAGGGTTCCAGGGGCCCATAGGTTTCCCCTTCTTGGGCCCGCCTTGAACACATCCTGAGCTACATTGGGAGCCTCTGGGGCCGTATTGAGTCTCTCGTGGGCCGTCTTGGGGTCATCTTGGGCGCGCCTTGGCCTCTCCAAGAGGATCTGATGGGCCTCTGAGGTTTTCCAAGCAACCTCGAGGGTTCTGCTTGCTGCCATCTGGAGCGGAAGGATGAGAAATTGTAACAATTTCACAAGCCCGCAAGAAGGCTTGGACGATTTTGGCCTCCCTGAAGCTCTCCGCCGACGGCCTGGGGGCGTCATGAAGCAAAGCTGGCGTCATCTTGGGGCGTCTCTGGGTCGCCTCTGGCCAGCTCTCGGAGCCTCCTGCACGGCTCGGGTGAGCGGCTCGCGTGGCTTCTGGAGGGCTCCTGGCAGGCTCTGGGCGGCCAGTGGACGGCGTCACGGGGCCGTCCCTCTCGCACGCGCTTCGACCCGAATCGAAGCTCACAGATGACGTCGGGCTCCAGCCTCGCTTCCCGCATCTCGCAGAGGAGCGCCAAGGCCCGCTGCCACTGATCGCCCTTCTCACACGCGCTCACCCCAGCATTGCAGCTGACCGGGGATGGGCCCGTGGACTGACACCCACGGGAGGCGCCTGGATCCCAAGCCTGGCCGCCTTCGGGGCGAGGCTCGGAGGGGGGGGGGGGGGGCGGGCCTCGGGATTGTTTTGGGAGGGCCACGGGCTCTTAGTGAGCGCTGCTCGCTGGCGCGCGCACAGCACGTGCGCGTGCGGGACTTCGGAGGTCGTGCACGGGCGCTCGGAGGAGCGCCAGGGGAGCACGCACTGACGCCGAGAGCGAGTCCTCGAGGAAGACCACCCCGGCAGATTTCTACGCTGCGGCGGGAGGCAAGAGAAGTGTTGGACGCCCAGAAAACCTGCACCGACTCGTGCAGAAGGCGCACCGGCAGGACGTCCAGAGCTGAGCGAATCGAAGCCTGCCTAGTGCCACTGCGTGCATCTCTCGCGCACGCTGATCAGAGCGCCGCAGCCTCCTACGAAAAGGGGGAGCAGGAGAGGATTGGCAACTGACGCTTCAGGTCCCAGTGACTCCGCACCTTGCCCACGAGAAAGAAGGTTAGTAAAAATAGGACCCAGCCAGGGCCGAGGACGGGGCACGAGAGCGCGGCGGCCGCGCGAGCACGTAGAGACAATGATGGCATCACCTTTTCAGCTCTCGTACGCCTGGCAGCGGACCGTTGCCAGGAACCAAGAGCATGGCATCATCATCATCATCATCATCATCATCATCATCATCATCATCATCATCATCATCACCATCATCACCATCATCACCATCATCACCATCAGTCTTATCATCATCCTCACCATCATCAACAACAACATCATCATCTTACTCATAATCATCATCAGCATTACCGTCATCACTAATCGTCATCATCAGCATCATCATCATAATCATCATCAACATCATTAGCATCATACTCATCACCACCACCACCATCATCTTCAGCATCGTCATCATCAGCATCGTCATCATCATCAGCAGCAACACCAAAGGCCGCCGCGCGCTCAGGCCATTGATGGAGCAGCGGCCTCCAGTCACCGCCCCCTCGCCATGCCCAAAAGGCAGGGGGCCGCTTGACGACACCCCGCACACCGCCAGGCCGCCATGGCCGTGCTCCGGAGCGCGGGCGCCGCGCACCTGCTGAGCACAGGACTCGCTACGCTGACCCTGAACTACTGGACGCTGAGCTTCAACTTCAACATCATCACGAACACAGAGGGCCAGCACAGGCACACCACGCGGCCCATGAATTGCCACAAGAGGAACAATTGCACGCTGAACGTGACTGGCCACATGGACTACCCCACCCAGATTGCGAAGGACTACTGGACACTGAAAATCAACTCCAACATCATCACGAACATAGAGGGCCAGCACATGCAGGATTACAACACGCTGACCCTGAACGACTGGACGCTGAACTTCAGGTTCAACATCCTCACGAACACAGAGGGCCAGTACGTGCAGGACTGGACGCTGAACTTCAAGTTCAACATCTTCACGAACACAGAGGGCCAGCACAGGCAGGACTACGACACGCTGACCCCGAACTACTGGACGCTGAGCTTCAATTTCAACATCCTCACGAACACAGAGGGCCAACACATGCAGAACTACACCACGCGGCCCCTGAAATGCCACCAGTGGAACGATTGCACGCTGAACGTGACTTGTCACATGCTGCTTCAGACGACGCACAAGACCAAGCTGAATGGCAGCAACAATACGGACACCTACACGATGAGGAAAGAGCTCCCAGGGATCATTGCCATCACGCAGGAGATCGAAGGCTACAAGTACACCCTGGACTCCCCCCTCAGGAAGAGCGACACCCCAGAAGACAAGAAACGCCTGCAGGAGATAGGGTCGCCAGCGCCGCCCTTCGCGCTGGCGATCTTGGAAGAACTGTACAAGTGTGACGTGGGCGGCTCCATGGAGGGTGCCATTCGGAACCACCTGCACCGAGCGGAGACCGAGGACATCGAGGCAGAACACAGAGGGCCAGCACATGCAGGATCACACCACGCGGCTCCTGAATTACTACCAGTGGAACAATTGCACGCCGAACGTGACTTGCCACCTGGACCACTACATCCACACCCAGCTCGCGAAGGACTACTGGATGTCCCAGGGCATCTCGACCACATCTCCGACATATGCCGTGCAAATCGGACTATGATGCACGCAGGCATTAAGATCCGCCAGTGCACTACCGACGCCCCGCATCATTTCGAGGACCACCGCTATCATACATGGGTCCATTTCGGATGGGGTCGCGGGGCACACACGAGCAGCTCAGTAAGTCGCAGCATCGCAGTATCCAAGCGCCAAAGCCGCAAAATAGATATCGACAAGGTACGGCACCCCCCACAATCTGACCTACGGGGCGCGGGCGCCGTCGAGCTTCATCGAGGCCAGCTCCGCTCTCGACTCACTGCTGAGTATTCCCCACCGCGGCCGAACGGAGCAGGTCATTACCAACACTGGAAAGCAGGATGCCGCCGACCATGGAGCTGGGTACCGCAGGCACATACCGACATCCCTATTCGCGACATGCCCATCCTGTTCACGGACCTCAACCAAGGGCAAGGACGACGATCACGACAGCGCCGCACCGACAACGCAATCGGCAGCTACCAACCCAGCGACGAGACCGAACTCGGACGCTTGATTCACGACAAGTTCCTGACGCACCAGCTGACAGCCATCAACATGCACATCGACGTCGGCAATGCCTACTACGGGCACGACAAAGCCAGATCAAGCATCAACTACTTCATCGGCCACGACAACTTCATGGAAATCGTGAAGCACGTGAAGCTGAATTGGAAGATCCACACCAAGCTAAGTAGCCTACTACATGTTGCCGACCACATCCCCATGATTATGCAGATCAAGATGCCTGTCAGCGGCGCCAACATCACGAACAACAACATCCGCTGGGACTATGGCCTACTTGCTGCTGGGCTCCAGACGGGCGCCCACCGTGCGTCTTCTCTCAACGACGCCTACGCCGAGATTAGCAAACACAAGGAGGCCCTCCGAGTTGTTAAGATGGATCAGTGGGCTCCCCCCGAGGCCAGCGTGAGCACCTCTTCCCTCCTCTCGGCGGCAACGCACGACGGGACGGACACCGACGACGAGACAAACCCCACCTTCGAGTGCAACATCGGGTCGTGCCAGAAACGGATTACCACGCGCTCGGCCACTCCAAGTGCTCCCCCGCCGCGCCCTGCGCCATCCAGATGCCGTCCCTCGCCCGCCATCGAGGACACCCCTGATGTAAGCGCGTCCAACTGCCAGTCGGTGGAACACATCGCGGGCAGCGACCTACGCAGCAGACCTAGACATCGACCACTTCGACGGCTACAAGCAGCACAGCGCCCAGCAGCAGTATATGTAGCGCCCACGCGGGCGATCCGAGTGGCTACTAATGTTTCCTCTACGCCTACTCTCCCTGGACAGGGGGACGACGCCCAAGTGGAGAGCGTCGTGGCGACTCCCACTGGACCCCTCCCAAGGCTCGAAGGGCTCGGGCACCGCTACGACGACACCAAGCAGAAGCTGGTGATCGGCGCGCCCATGTGGGAGGGCCAGGCGGTCCACCACCGAGGCGTGGCCCCAGTGGGCTGGCCCGAGGAGGAGGTAGGCCACCGGCTAGAGACGCTCGAGCAGTGAACCCGCCTTTTTGCCAGAGCGAGCCTGTCTTTCTGCCAGAGCGAGCCTGCACGCCACAGCGCAGGCCACAGCGCAGAGGAGGCGAGTCCACGCCGTGTCAATTTTTGCTCGAGGCTAAAGCCTCCCTGCCAGTAGCAGCACGGTCACGGTCACATCCCGCCCTCCTCCGTCGCGCCTCCACCCCCCCCCCTGCCGTGCCAGCACATGCAGAGGAGCTGCGTGAGGTGGAGGCCCCACCCCACCTGAGTTCAATTGCCGAAGGCGAAGCGGCCAATATTATTCAGCTAGCATTTCGACGCTGCTAGGCACGCGCTGCGCAGGAGGCCCCTCCGAGCAGCACCCTGGCAGTCTGGCCCAAGCGGGGCAACACGAGACAGTCGGCTCTCTGCGACGGATCTCTCAAGTCTGGTTTCAGTGTATACCATATTTTGATATCAGATGTTGGTCCTGACGTCGAGGAAAAAAAAGAAGCAGCAACACCACCACATCATCATCATCATCATCATCATCATCATCATCATCATCATCATCATCATCATCATCATCATCATCATCATCATCATCATCATCATCATCATCATCATCATCATCGTCATCGTCATCGTCATCCTCATCCTCATCCTCATCCTCATCCTCATCGTCATCCTCATCCTCATCCTCGTCATCATTGCGGACTTCTGACGCCTGGCAAGCCGTTGCCAGGAATACGAGCATCGCACTCTCCCTTGGAATGTTGCCGACCGTCACAGCATGCCGAGCACCCACAGAGCCTGCTGCCGACGCCCGCCCGTCTCGCACGCGCCGACGACGACGCTGCAGCTCACGGCATGGGTCGCCAGCCTTTGCCACCAGAGGTCGCCCATCAGTGACAGGGCCTGCTCCCACTGCCCGCACCGCAGTGTAGCTGACAAGAGCTGACCAGTGGACTGCGTCCACTTGCGGGGGCGCCGCAAGGCGCACTTGATAAAATTGGGCCCCACGCTTACTTTCCACATCTCGGCGACGACTTGGGGGCGCCTTGGGGGCGCACTGGGGCCCTCCGGCCTCCAGGGGCCCTCGGACCCTAGATCTGATCTTGGGGTGTTTGTGGTGAGTTTTTCGAGATCCAGGGCGCTCCCATGGCCCTTGCAGGCTCGGAGAAGTCCTTCGGTGCACAGGTACTGCTGGCACGCGGGGGCTTCCGCCTTGTAGGAGAGATGACGTTGGGCTCCAGCTTCGCCTCCCGCATCCCGCTAAGCAGCGCCAAAGCCTCCTGCCATTGCTCGCCCTTCTCGCACGCGCTGATCCCAGCGCTGTAAGAGACAAGGGCTGACCCGTGGGCTCTGTCCACGAAACCTGCACGAACTGGCACGATATTGTGGACATGCTGCCGAAAGGCTGAACATACAATGTGGGGCTCGACCCTCGAATTCCGCGCATGCTACTGCGTGCTGATGCTTGCTGCCGCTGTTGCGTGCCGTTGGTAATGCTTGTCGCTGCTGCATGTCGTCTTTGTTTATAGGTGCAGGGTGCTGCTGCTGGCCACGTCTGCTTGGTACGTGCTGCTGACCGCTACCTGCTGCTGCTGCTGCTGCTGCTGCTGCTGCTGCTGTTTGGTGTTGCTATGTGATGCCGCTGCTGCTGCCTGCTTCGTGTTTCGTGCTGCTGCCGTTCGGCCGCCCCAGGATGATCTTGAGCCGCCTTGAGGCCGTGTTAGGACCAAGGCTGGAAATCAAGAAGCACAAGCATGTGGGCCTCATGTTCCAAAGCTGTTTCATGGTGGCTGTGGCCGCCAAAGGTTGGAGGATGCGCGCGGGCCGCGCAGGCTTGAAAGAAGCTCGAAGACACTGCGGAGCGTGCCCCCACTGGCCGGCCCGTCCCGAGCACTCTCAGGGAGAACTCCCCGACGAGTCGCCCATTCAGACTGGAGCCTACTCTGGGTCTCTTAATACGTAAGCGTGGGGGGTACCCCCCGACGGGGGTCAACCTCGCCTCGTCGTTGCGCCGCGACGGGGGTCGGAGCGCCTTCGGCGCGCGGTGGCTGCCCGCGATGGGGATCACTGTGGGGCTGTGGGCGGGGGTGACGCCCCCCCGACGCTTATCAAGAAACTCGGCGTATTCAAAGACGGGAAGAACATGAGAAGCACCTGGGCGCCTTATTTTCCTGGGTGGCTGGCGCGGTGCCAGAGCTCTCTGAGGGATCTTCCCTCGGGATCCTCTTGGAGGAGGTTTTGGGGGGGTGTCTCGAGACCTCTCGGGGGCTTCTTCCGGTGGCGCGCAAACATGGATTATCCATGGATTTGGCGCGCGGTCGCCAAATCCATGGATCGGGGGAGGTGCCCTCCCCAAAAGGCGGCCGGTGCCGCCTCGCTCGGCGGCGGAAATCCTCGATTTCCCATGGAGACGGGACTAATCCACGCCCCCTTGATCCATGTTTGCGATCGCCTTATTCTTGGGACCTGATCTGGGCCTCTCGGGGGCCCCCTGGGGCTTCTGGGAGGCCTCTTGGAGGCCTGCCGACGGTTTCGGAGATCCTCTTGGAAAAGAGAGCGCGACATGTCAGTTCGAGCTCCCCCTCTCGGTACAGTCTTGGGCCGTCTTTGGAGCCTCTTGGGTCGTCTTAGGGTCATATTGGGGGCCCCTTGGGCCGTCTTGCAGCGTCGAAAATCCGAAAATGCGAGAATGCTGAATCCCTTTTTGGGAAATCAATGAGTTGGGCCTCTCGGGGCCCTGATGGATGGCCTCTTGGAACCCTCTTGGGCTGTCTTGTCGCTCTGTTGCGCCGTTTGAAAACCATGTCGGCGACCTCTTGGACCGTCTGGAGGCGTCTCTGGCCATCTTGAACCGTCTTGGGGCCCTCTTGGGCCGTCACGGAGCCCCCCAGAGGGGGGCATGGAGAGCGGCGCGGCCGGCAGGGGTCAAATTTGCCCTTGTTGATCCGTTTTCCTCCTGACACGCGGTTCCCTGGGCGTCGTAGTATAGACTAGGGCGTACCCCAGGAGGATTTTGCCCACGAAAGCCCATGTGTCCAGCGCGCGATTGCTGCCCAGCGTCCACGAAAGCTTAACCACATGCAAGGATAAGGATCGCTTGCGTGCTTGTCTGCTCGCCTGCTATCCCGCTTGCGTGTTTGCTAGCTCGATGGCCAGATATCTTGTGGCTGGATGGACTGCTTTCGATTTTGCCTGCTGCATCGTTTGCCCGTCCGCTCGCTGCCGCTTGCTGATCCTCGGTGCTGGTCGCTACAACTTTCTATACACCATGTTGCTCGTCGGCGCCGCTACGGTCTGGTGTTGGCCGTTGCGTGCTGATGCTTGGCGCCGATGTGCGCTGCTGTCGCGTTGTGTTGCTTGCTTGCTTGTTGTTGCTTGTTGTTGCCTGCTGTCGCTGGTGCGTGCCGTTGGTGATGCTTGCCGCTGCGGCTTCCGTTGCTGCTTGTGGACTGCAAGGTACGGGGCTGCTGATTGCCAGGGTGTTGCTGCCTTCTGCAAGGTGTTGCTGCGCGTCACTGCGGGGTGTTATTGCAGGGCGTTGCTGCCTGCTGCGCGCTGTTTGCTCCGTGCTGCTGCTGCTGCTGCCGCTGCCGCTGCTGCTGCTGCTGCCGCTGCCGCTGCTGCTGCTGCCGCCGCCGCTGCTGCCGCTGCTGCTGCTGCTGCTGCTGTTCGTTGCCGCTGCTTGATGCTGCAGGGTACTACTTCTCGCTACGTCTGCTTGCTGACGCAACCTGCCGCTCGTGAGAAGGTCGTGGAGCAAAGAGCGAGGAGTCATGATCGAGAAGGAAGGAGGGGGAAGCCAGGAACGATCAGCGAGAAGAGCGGGAGGGAGGCCTAGGAGAGAGGGGCAAGGAGCAACGAGGGAGGACCGAGGAGGGAGGAAGCGGGGATGGAGGTTCGAGTAGCCACGAGAGAGAAGCGAGGAGGCCAGGTCAGAGGAGCGAGTGGGAGTGCATGAGGACAGGAGCAGGGTGCGAGGAGCCAGCGGCGAGGAGCGCGGACAAAAGGGGCAAAGGCAAAGGAGCGAGGAGCGAGGACGGGTGCGAACCTCCACGTGGCTTCGGCGCGCGCTGGCCTCCTCTCGGGCCGCCTGCGGGGCCCTCCCGACGCCAGCTTGGGACCCTTTTGGGGCGTTCTTCGGGTGCCTCTTCGGCCTCCTTGGGGCCCTCCCCGGCCTTTTCCGGGCCATCTGGCCGCCCCTTGGGGCCTCTGGGTGCTGCTTTCCTTGAGTGAGGCATTCTGGGCCGTCTCGGGCGTTCTAGGCAACGAAAAGGGGAGACGCTAAACTCTTCTCAAAACAAATGGGGGATCAGTGATTTTTTGGCGAATCCCTCTTGAGGAAGGTGCGCCGCTGGATCTCCCCAGGAAGGGGGGGGGGGGAACCCCCCCCCCCTCCCCCCCCCCCCCTCCCCCCTTTCCCGATCCGTCGTCGGGGACCCCCCCCCCCCCTTTCCCGATCCGTCGTCGGGGACCCCCCCCCCGTCCCCCCCTTTCAAAAGGGGGGGAGTCCGACCCCCCCCCCCTCCCCCCCGTTGGCCGGTAAATTCGACCCCCCCCCCCTTTTCGCCACAGCGCCCCCGGCTCCGGAACCCGACCCCTACCACCCCTACCGCTAATTCTCACCCTTACCCGACCCCCCAACCCTAACCCCGAACCCTAACCCGAGCCCCAAACAGTACTCACTACTCATTACGTATTACTCACTACCCACTACTCGCTACTCGCTACTCACTACTCACTTCTCACTACTCACTACTCACGACTCACTACTCACTACCCACTACTCCCTACCCACTACTCCCTATTCACTACTCCCTACTCCCTACCCACTACTCACTACTCACTATCCACTACTCGATATTCACTACTCACTACTCACTACTCACTAAACACAACCCACTACCCACTACGCACTAATCACAAATCACTACTCATTACCCACTACCCACTATCCACTACTCACTACCCACTACTCACACTTCACTACTCACTACTCACTGCCCACAACTCACTATTCACTATCCACTGCTCGCTACTCCCTACTCACGACACAATACTCACTACTCACTATTCACTACTCGCTACACCCTGCACCCTACTCGCTACCCAATACGCACCACTCACTACCCACTACTCACTACGCACTACGCTCCCACTACTTGCTATTCACTACTCCCTACTCACTACTCCGAACTCCCAACTCACTACTCACTATCCAGTGCTCAGCACTCACTATTCACTACGCAATACTCACCACCCACTACGCATTACTCACTACTGACTACCCACTACCACCTACTTCCTACTCCCTACTCGCTAGTCACAAGTCCCTACTCAGTACTATTCAATACTCACTACTCACAACTCACGACTCACTACTCGCTACTCCCTAAGCACTACCCACTGCCCAGTACTCAATACCCACTTCTCACTTCTCACTACTCCCTGCTCCTATTCACTACTCGCTACCCACTACTCACTACTCACTACTGACTAGTCCCTCCTCACTACTCACTACTCACAGTGCCCTATTCGCGACTCACTATTCACGACTCGCTATTCCTTACCCGCTACTCACTACTGATTACCCACTGCCCACTACCCACTATTCACGACTCACTACTCACTGCTCACTGCTCACTGCGCACTACTCACTACTCAGTCCTCGCTCCTCACTACTCGCTACTCACTACTCACTACTCGCTTTTCACTACTCACTACTCAGTACTTTCTACTCACTACTCACTATCCCGAGGCCAGGCCCTCTCCCCGGCCCCTTGTTCGGCGCAAAGGGGGGGAGTGGAGGGGGGTTCGAACCCCCTCCTCCCCCCCTTTCCAGCGCCAAGGGGGGAGGGGGGGGGGTCCGGACCCCCCCCCCCCTTCAAGGGGGAAGGGGAGGGGATGGTTCGGACCCCCCCCCTTAGGAGGGGATGGGAGACGGGGGTCGAAAATCTCACCCACTCTTTGAAGGGGGAGAGGGGGGGTTCGGAACCCCCTTTCCCTTTCAACTACAGGGTGATCCAGTGGCGCGCTTTCCTTCTTGAGGCCTTCTCCACCCGTCCGGTGGTCATCTTGGGCCGTCTGAGGCTTCTCTTGGAACTTCTGGAGCCACCTCGGGGCCCGTCAAGACACCCTCTTGAACCGTCTTGGAGCGTAGCAGGGACGCCTGGTAGGCGCGATGGAGCCCGCTGGCTGATCTTGAGGCACTTTGGCGAGCGTCCTTCCCGCACACGTGATATACACGAGCACACATGTACAAACCCACGGTAGC